CTCTCGCTTTCTGACTATTCAACTTTTAGAGGATGTTATACACAGTGGAAATAAATATTCAAAAGGAAGCAGAGAGAAATGAACCCTTCAAAATCGAGAAGAGAAAACGCTTTTCAAATTTCTGCCGTGTTCGACAACCGTGTTACTTTATTTCTGACAAGTTTAGACCGTACACTTCCATAATTCATCAAGCATGTGACGGAGAGGAAGAGGGGCCTGATGTCTTTTTTTAAAATGAAATCTGATCCTTTTGGCAGATTTAGGCTGGTTTCTTTGGGCTTTTAAAGTTTCTTATTTTAGAAGCAGTGGATGGGCGAGAGATGAGCGATGAAGTTATGAATCAGAAAAAGAAAATCACAATCATTGCTAAATATCTCAATACTTTTAAGCACCGTAGTAATGGAGATAATAACCCCATCAAGGCAAGAATGACACAGGCACTCACAAAAGAGAGCTGGTAATGGGTTTTAAATGGCGTGCCAGGCTGCAGACAGAGGTGTATGCCACACGCAGTGGGTGGTAAATGAGCTGCTCTACATTTTTATGAATTTTCATCCTCCGTGCGTTGCATCCAGAGACCTTTTGTTGAGGCCAGCCCCGTGAACCCTTGCAGAGACTATCTTTTTCGCTGTAAGATTGCCTGTTGACTCCGTTGCCATAGCATAGCTCAAATGTGCCCATCTGGGATTTTCCACATTACGGGAGGAGAATCAAGCTGATTTGTATTGGTCTATTTGCTGGGGAAGCTTGTAGTGATGCTTTGTGTGACCGGGTCAGGTAAGGAAATCAGCATTTACCAGAGTAATGTCCTTGTGCAAAGTCACGTTGAAATAAATGAAGAAAATCAAACTAATGTCTAATTGTTGCAGCTTTATTTAGTTTTACTCTTTTATTGATGTGTTGTTGACATTCATCAGTCCAGAATAGTTAATTTTTTTATTTTCTGATTGTGCAGAAATGCACAGCACAGTGTGTTTTACCGAAGTGTCGACAGGAAGTGAGCAGCTGACCACAGAGTGTCCATCTGTAAGCCCACATGCCCTTCTGTCTTCCCGTCCCAGGCTGTCCCTGCTAGAAGAGTGGCGCGGTGTTCGCGATGAAGCGCTGTCTGAGCTCAGTGGGATTAAGGCCTGCATCTTCGTCCACGCTGGAGGCTTTATTGGCGGGAACAAGAATCAGGAAGGAGCCCTGGAGATGGCCCGGAGGACCCTGCAGGCCGCTGCCCAGTCCCCAGCAAATGGAAGCAGCTGAAGGTTCACAGAGGATAGCCAACAGCACATGTTGTTCTTAGGGTCAGTCTGTAGAGAGGATGGCAAGGATTGAAATGCTAATTTGCTGTCTCGCAGCTTGTTTGTCCCAGCTTTTTAGGGCTAATGTTTTGTTCTGCCTTGCCAGGACGGGGGATGGTATGGAAATGGCAGCCAAATAACCTTGGACCACTTCCCAAAATACCTGCAGTATATTCCAACACAGGCTCACTCTGAATCATAGTATTGACTCTTTTTGGGTTTTTCTTTCCCCCCTGTTATAAATATGGCAATGTTTTTGCAATAAAAGACTACACCCTGGTCTTTTGTTATCAGTTTGTTATTGGGTTAAATCCAGAATTAAAGCGATTGTTTTTTTTTCTGTTCTGTTCACGTCTCTCTTCTCTCACCATCGAGGAACTGTGATGCAGGCAGCCTGGCCGACTAACTCCAACATCTTCAAAGCCGGTGAATACCACGGCCTTACCTTTTCAAGGGTCGATTTATATAGACGCCTGGCCAGTGGTTCACCCTTTCATTTCCAGCATCCTGACATTAACTGTAGCACTACAAAGAGATACAGAGGCTACTTCAGCTGGCTGCCAGATCAAAGAGTTAATAATGAGGCCTGATTCATTCTGAGAAATTAAATTTCCAGACGCCACAAAGGGGTGCTTCTTATGGCAGCCGGTGACGAGGTTACCGGCTGTGGGGGCGAGCTGTACAGTCGATTTCCCTGTAATAAAGTTGGGGATGTGCCTTGGATTTTCTCATTAATACTCCAGATTTTCTTCCCCCCCTTATCTCTACCTGTTGCTCATAGCTTATTGCGTTCTCCACAAGGCTGCCCTCTCGCTGCTCTTGCGTTGTGGAACATATTGCTCGAATTTCATTGCCGTGCCTTCTATTTCCATCATTGTCGTCGTGCAAAATGCCACAGCAGTTAAAAAAAATTCACTTACATGTTGCTCTGCTTCTTTTTGTCTTTCAGTTTGTTGTTCAGTGGTGCAGACTGTTAATTCTTCACTGACGAGGCCGTTTTATCGTCTTTCTTTGTCACGCTTAATTGAAACAGAGAAGCCTGCTATGCTCTTGAGTGGATCCTGCTCAGAAATACAAACATTTTACATTTACACGGATAACACACAGTGCTTTGACTATTTTTAATAGCTTTGGAAAGGCACTCCTGTTCTTCATCTTATTTTCCACACTAACTTTGCCACACACCCACACACACACACACACACACATTTTAGTGTTATTAGTCTGCTCTCTATTCTGTTGGACCCGAGCCAAGGTCCCAATCCAATCTATACAGATTTGTGACAGCCTTTTACAGTCACGTGGTTCGTATTGTTATCTCTGCCATCTCTGTGTGGTTTTGGTATAGGGTCATAACATAATCCTTTTTCAAAGCTTGCACCTCACCCTGACCGCGAAGGTATATTCACTACAGCGGTGTAATCGCGACCACTTTGAGAGAGAAAACATGCAATGGACAAGAAGACAAAAACGGAATGTATTGATTTGAGTTTCCAGCCACCACATTACCCTTGCATGCACAATTGGAGGCTTATTTATGATGATGTGCACTTGCCTGATTGTTGGCGCAAGATACTCTGACTGTATTTCATAATCCAAAGCCGCCTCAAAAGACGTCCTGCATTCCTTTGTTCATTTCTGCTAGTTTTAGCTTATGCTCTGGTTTTCCCCCAAGAGAACAGGACAACTTGTCAGCACCAAGTACTTTCCTGTCACTAAAATTACATACAAAGCAACATTTTTTTTTAATGCCTTGTTTTGTCAGCAGGGATGATTTTCCATCTGCGTTGTGGTTTCTAACAACACAGCAACAGACCAAATCTTTGTGTTGGTCCTCGGTCGTAAGCAGTTTTAGACGACTCCGGCGCTGGCAAGTCCCAGTTGGCCACACTGTGGAAAAATGGCTACTGAGAACCTCAGCAGAACACCTGCCCCCAGCGTGACCTGTTAGGGGATTCAATCCCAAGAGAATGACTCTACTGCTTTAAAAACATTTGTTATCTCTCTCTCTCCCACTCCATCAGGCGTACCAGACATGCAGCCTGGACGGTGGTTTTTGTCCTGCCGTCTTTTCACGACACAGATAATAGACAAAATCATAAGCATGCCTGCTCTCTGTGCCTTGGAGGAATATATTCCTGCCACATGCTGTCATATATTTTCCTCTGCCTCTATCTACACATTTGTGTAAGGTTCATTTACTTTCCCCCCCCCCCCCCCCCTGAGGATTACAGCCAAACCGCACAGATGATGCCAAACTGCTTCAAAGAGTCAACTTCGCCATCAACAAAAGGCTTCTATTTGTACATCTTTAGAACTGATTCCTCTGAGAACATAACAAATAGACAGTACATCAAGGTTTTCATTTGTCTTGCTGCTAATTGAACTTCTCATTCCAGCACCATGTCATTCACTCTCAGCTCAGGGACCTGAAAACAGTGTGTGTAATACTGATTTCTGCCCGTAATTGTGTGCTTTCTCATTACGCACCCCTTTGTCTCTTGTTTTGTATCTGAAAAAAGCACAAAACTCAGCTTGTCCGCAGCCCTGTCTCTGGCAACCAGGCAGACAATCACCCGTCAAGGGTAAAACATTCGCAAAAATACAGCTGTAAATTATATTTGCAGCGTTCTCCCTCTTTACCCGCTGACCCTTTTTTCTTCCTCCTCCTCAACATCATAATCTCCCCTGTCAGTGTTGATTCTGGTTTTGTGTGTTTGTAAAGAGATGGACAGAGTGTCATCTTTTTTTATTTTTTTTTTTATTTATTTATTTATTTTTTTTAGACAAAACATTCACAGAAATGCACCTGCATGTAAATTATACTTGCAGCTTTCTTTATTGTGCTTGTCTGGAGTGGATATGTCATCGTTTTGAACAGGTTTGATAGGAGCAGGACAGGCAGAGGAGGGATACAAGTTGCCATCATAGCTGTCAGACCCCCCCCCCCCCGGAGGGCTCTCCTGTAGAGGGGCAGATATTTTCTGCTGCCTATAATAGAAAAGAGGGAGAGCAGGGCACTCGTCCTGCGAGTAAACCACCATGGATTTTTCCATATATGTGTAATTTGCATCACTGTGTGTGTATGTTGTTAATTATATGGAAATCTGTGATCCTGGTAAGAGTGAGTGGGTCTTAAGGCTGCCTTAGGTCCAACCTCTCCTGTGTTCATACATGCATGCATTGCAGAGCCTTTACCTACATGTTGGTGTGATGGATAAAGTCTCTTTCTATGTGACCTCCAATAGCCTGGAGAAATAAGATATGAGAGCATCTTCCCTTTAATGTTGTTAGGTATATATAATTAAGTTACTATCTCATATGGAGGTATAACCAATGTCTTCTCAGAAATCCAGGAGACTGATGCCATCTATAGTGAGGAAGGACTTATGGTGAGACACCTCACGTTTGTCTCTCACACACACACGCACACGCACACGCACTCAGCGAGAGAGATAGAGATTGCCCCACATCTTTGTTGCTATAACTACCCTCTATTTCAACAGGCAGGGATGAAGCCGTCTACAGGCGACAAACCACGGATCCACTACTGATGCTCTTTACGTAGTTCCAAAACATTTAGGAGCAGGAGAAGATGATGTTTAATCTGCTGTAGGGAGAAATCCGAAGAAAAACTGCAAAGGGAGTCTTAAAAAAAACATCCATATCCGTTTTCTGGATCTCAAACTTCACAAGAAACCGCAGGTAAGTTTTTATAAATCTATGTTTGCCCGCATTTAGAACCAGCAAATATTGTATTGTTGTTCTAATGCCTCTGGGGGAACAATTAGTGATCATATCGTCGATGCAGTCGGTTGTCGTCGTGGATTTCTCTTTTTTTATTTTTGTTGCATAAACTTTTTAATAGCAGCCTGACGAGGCGAACAACGTTCTTTAATTAAACAAACTTAATTGATATGCTTAAGACGATATGTTTGCTTGCTTGCACGAAGCAATATAATCTGTTTTCTAGGGTTCCCCCAGATTAATGTTATTAATAGTTTAAATAAAATGTTAAGGCGTCAATGCAGGTTATTTTTTATAAAATACTGGAGATGAACTCACCGAGTCTCGGCATTATTACATTTAAATGATTACCTTTACTTTAACAAACAATAAGGAATATTAAAATAATTGGAAACGGGAGTCATCAGCTGTAACCACAGTGCCTTCTATTGCTTTATGAGAAGAAGAGGAGGAGCTGGACACATACAAAATATGAAGCGTCAAAATGAATGCCAACAAAATTATGCAGCCGATGATTATTTTCCTAATTGGGGATCTGCATGCAGCTGCATTCAGTATGTTAATAAAGGTGCGGTTAATGAGTGGCGAACTAAATCCTCACCTCTGCTCGTACGACAGTTGATGGACATGGCTGTCAGTTAAATCACTTCTATCGACCATATCTAGGCCACTGATAGTCTGTGCAGGAGAAAAGAGGCACGTGACAGTTTTGCTACTATTATAAAGACATGGGAGAGAGCAGAAAGTGCTTGACATTTAAGAGGATGGTCTTTTAATCAAATTCACACAGTGTATTGCGATCAAGAACAATCATACGGCTGTATATGTCTCAACAAAACAAGTCCTAGAAACACTTAATTGGATTGTCTGGATTAAATACAGCAGATCAAGAAAAATAAAAATCGGAGGCAGATGAGTCTGGGCGGCTCTAAAACACATAACACCTGTCATGTGTTCTCCAGTGGTTTTGGGATGCAGAGCTTAGAGTCTATACATTAGCCTCCTCACTGCAGGAGTACTGAGCAGGTGCAAACACCCAGACCGCTGCTGGCTTATTTTTTTGTCACTTATTGACACGGTGGGACACAGGCAGGATTGATGTTCTTGCCATTAATAGTGTAACAGGCAATACTTGGGCTATCGATCGCTCCCCCTTTCCAGCCTCCATCCCTACAGTCCGCTCTATCTCCAGCCATGGAATCAACACGGGCTGATGGAATATGATTAAAGGGCTATTTCATCATGGGGAAATAAATAGAGGGATGAATGAGATGAACACGCATTGATGAGTCTAATGTGATGCTTTTCCTCTGTTTTTTTGGAGACGCACAAAAGCAGAAGGGTAATAATGATACTAATGATGATTTTGTCCTTTTGTTGCAGAAATACAATAGTTGTTTCGATCACTTCAAACTTCATTACTGCTGTGAATAACAAGGATTGTTGCTCAGAAATAGTTCTCTTACATGTTTTGGTATTTATATATGATAATGTCTCTCCATGCATGCGTATATTCATCAGATAAACCGGGCTTATTTCATTGACTATCTCTTTTCCCACTGACCTTTTTCCTCCTACTCCTCCTCCCCAACATGATAATCTCTCCTGTCTGTATTCATTCCTAGTTGCATGTGTTTGTAAAGAGACACACACACACACACACAGTCATCTTTGACCCGTATTTTTCTCTCTCAATCTGTCAGATCCTCCCGGTGCGAGTGAGTGTGTGTGAGATTGGGACCTGGTGTGTGTCAGGGGGCTATGGTGAGGCGATGTGCACAGGCTGGTGTGAGGAGAGATGTACCAGCGTCAGTGGAAGAAGACAGGGGGGTAAAGGAGTGGATCTTCATTCATGGCTGCGCTTCTCGCTCTTGTTCTCAGCTCTGTGGGGCCAAGTGTCCCCTAAGTGCCCGGACAGCTGCCACTGCGCCTGGGACACAGCCACGGTTCTGTGCTCGGACTCAGACCTGCGGGACATCCCAGAGGGGATCCCGCTGGAAACTGTCTCCCTCCACCTGGAACGCAACTACATCCGAAACATCCCCGAGAGTGCCTTCAGCGACCTGGTCCACCTGCGAGACCTGTACCTGTCCCACAACCGCATCGATTCCCTTGCCTCGGGGGCCCTGCGGCATCTGGGTCCGGAGCTGCGCCTGCTGGACCTCTCGCACAACCAGCTGAGGCAGGCCAGCAGGGAGGAGTTTGGCTCTACTCGTGCAAAGACGCGCCTCTACCACAACCCGTGGCACTGTGACTGCGCCCTCCAGGAGTTGATGGAGACTCTGAACCTAGAGGCGGAGACAGTGAATGGGATCGTGTGTGAGAGCTCTATGAGGGGGGTGGGCGAGGGTAGCAGGTGGGAGGATCCGGGGTCGCAGGGCGAGAACGCTGGTCAACCGCTGGTCAAACTGTTGGATTCCGGGGTGAATTTCTGCAGCCTGCAGAGGAAAACCACTGATGTAGCAATGCTGGTGACAATGTTTGTATGGTTCTTCATGGTCATAGTGTATGTAGTGTACTATGTGAGGCAGAACCAAGCCGAGGCTCGCAGGCATTTGGAGTACCTGAAGAGTTTGCCCAGCCCACGCAAGACCCCCACAGAGACGGATACTCTGAGCACTGGTTTCTGATCTCCTGCTAGGCTATTACTTAAATGGCACATTAGGCAAATGGATTTTTCAAGAAGAACTACTGATGAATATAAAAATGCTGTGTGGAGTTACTGGAAGATGCTGATCCAGAGGAAACAAACCGTTTACAGCTGTGCTTTGTGATATTTCTTTATATTTGTTACAACTGAGCCCCTCTACCACGTTTTTCCTAATATTTATGCATATTTGTGCATAACTTGTTACATTCTACCATTTCAACTGAGAGAAAAGAGTGGAACCTGAAAAAACTAAAAGTGCAGCAGAAGCTATAACAAAGAAAGACAGTTCTTTCAACTTTATAACCTTCTATCTCCCTCTGTAGTCCCTCTTTCCTTCTCTTTTCTTCTCCCACCATGCCCCATACTGTGGTCTTTTATCTTTCATTAAGCTCTAATTAAGAGTCTTTGACCAACTGACCCTTCATGAAGACTTGAAAGCCACTAATCAGCTGAAGTGTGTGTACCAGGTTGAAGAAATGTGCGAACTCAAATGAAACAGGCATCTAATTGCCTGTTTCATTTTTCTGTGAGTTTCTGTGCCTTGAAAGAGGCCATTTTCCCTTGGATAACATTGATTTTGCACAGATGCTATTTAAGCCTGTCCCAATACAAGGCCACAAAGCCAGTGGTTTCCGTGCCAGTGGAGAACATGCTGATCTAAATTTACTGTCACGAAGCCATTAGAGCTGGAGGTGAACTGTTTTGTGTACAAGCTGCAGCAATCAGCTCTAAAATATCTGGACAGCCAAGTGTACACACAGCGTGTCCACTGATTGGTACAAAGAAATCCCAGCCAGATTTAGAAATGAATCATTGTCATGAATTAGATTAGTGAGGCCATTTATCCTGAGAGAAGCTGTTCGTTTAGCTTTAATTAATCTCTTAAGTCCTGCTTTTCCATTCTCTCTGCAATGATTGCTGTAAACACATTTTTCTGTCTCCCATGTATAGTTTAGGCTTCATCATAATTGATTTTTTTCAAGCCACTGTAAAAAAAAAAAAAAAAAAAAAAAAAGGCTAAAATGCTTTTATAATAAATAGAATCATTTTCTCAGTTAGTACATTTAACGCCTGCAATATTAAGATTAATTCCATGCCTTACGTGTATACTGAACATGCACTTAATATGGAACAAAACCTTACTGGATTCACCGCCATCTTGTTTTAATTTCACTTTAGTTTCTATTCACTGTGGCAAAATGTGAAGCATTATTCTCTGAGGGGAGGGCGGATTGATTGGTTAATGTCTTCACTTGTACATATGGAAATCAAATGGGTGTTTAGGACAGCGGTTACCAGCAAGTACTCGCTAATTCAATTTAAAGGGTCCATGAGATTATTGACAGGATATTAAAGCAGAAAAAAACAAAGATTTTTTTTTACCGCACACAATAGGTTTACTTTTCCTTTCATGTTGTTATTCTTGTAAATGATTGGATAACTTTAGGTGCTTCTATAGTTTATTTTCTATTATTTTCAAAGCATAAAAAAACAAAGGGAAATAAGACAATCTTGCGATTGGCACCAAATCGCTCTTTGGTTGAGCAGATATTGGCTGTTATCAATCTACAATCTGTTGTATGTAACAGACTGTAGGGGGGTCTGAAGCAGCCATTACTTTGTTTGTTTAAGGGGTCACAAGCCAAATAGGTTCACTGGTGTCAGAGGATGTTTTTAGCCATGCTAGCAGCGTTGCTCTACGAATGACAATGTTGGTCTGTTAGTCAACGATTATTGGATGGATTATGATGAAATTTGGTGGAGACAATAACTTTGGTGTTCACCTAATTTTTTAGCACCATCATTAGGTCAACATTTTTATTTGTCCTTCACTTTGGTTTGTGACCAAAGCCAATAACATTCCCATCACCTCAACTGTAGGCTACTCTGTGTTTTGTGCTAGCAAATGTTAGCATGTTTACTCGTAAACTAAGGTGGTTAACAACAGTGAGGTTAACGATCGTGGTGAACATTATACCTGCTAAACATCATCTATTGTCATTGTGAGCATGTAAGCATGCTGTCGTTAGCATTTAGCTCAAAACACCACTGTGCCTAAGTGCAGCCTCACAGGTTCTTATTCATGTATCAAGTGTACAATTACGACCTTCTAAGTATTTATAGATGTAATAAAACATTACTGTGCCCCATTTAATCTAACAATTGGGTTGGAAAAATGGTAAGAGCTGAAGCGAAACCTAGAATAAGACAACTTGCTCTGTACTGTGATGTGCTAAATGTGGAAATTTGTGTTGTTGTTCATCATGAAGAAATACTGTGAATTAGAGCTAGCATCAGTGAACTTTGAGTAGAACGATATGGATGTTGTTATGATATAGACCACAGGCTGAAAGATTAGAATAAGAAGTTTGATATTTGCTCTGTCTGTCTGTGACAGACTGTGAAGCCCTGTGGTGTATCTTGACATACTCCTCTGAATGTTACCTGTCTGTCACAAATCCTACATCTACTGTTGATGTGTCAGAGTTCAGTTTCCCCATGCATCTCTAATCTGGCTCAATAAGGTGAATTGATGCAGACAACCCGAAACTCAAGAACCAAGCATGCCCTCTGTGAATTTTACTACTTTTTTTTGTACTTTTTTCTTTTATTGGTGATGTATTTCTGTCACAGTGATTATTTTTGTTTGCCAATAATTATTCAAACAACGATGAAGTCATAGATCGGAAACCATTTCATTGAATAATAAGTGATCTATCAAAAAGTGATTTTAAGAAAAGAAAAACAAAGTAAAAATAAAAGAAACATTGCTCGACTTTGTTCAAAAAAGTGCTTCTACATTTTATTGCTACTGTAGGTTGGAAAAAAAAGGCAAGAAGATAAAGATTCAATAGAAGAACAGGAAGACATCAATTCACAGAATGAACAGTGTTTCCTATTTCTACCATGCGTTAAAACTAAAGGAAATGACAGAAAAACAATTTTACATATACATATAAAAGTACATGATGGGAAAATTCACCCATCACCACCTTCAACCTTTTTTCTGTTTTTTGTGTTTTTGGTTTCCACACATTTCCATCAACAAAAACAAAATGGCCCCAGCATTTATTCCACCACCACAAAAACACAGCGGCACCAGGACAAAGTGACATGTTTAGGTGTGACTTAGTTTTCTTTGGGGAAGAGTCAAAACCACAGTACTACCCCAGATGTTTCAACACGGGGGAGAACAAAACAGGATACAAATAAAAAGCAACTTCAGCCTGTTTCTTGGTTTTGTCTTTTATTTCCAATTTACATTAATTAAAACGTAACAAAAACAAGTCATGATCATAATAATAATAATAATATAATAATGCTATTATTATTAATAATAATGCTATTATTAATAATAAGAAATATACACAACCTCACACAAACGAGCCCTCTGCGCTGGTGGTAGAACTGGTGCAACAAAGTCAAAAACACCCTGAATCTCTTGAACCGTGTGTGTGTGTACGCACTCCGAGGCAGAGGGCACTCCCTGTGTGAGGGGACTGATGGGAGGAAGTAGAGAGGGATGGGGGTTAAAGTCACAACAAATTGGGGTGGGGGGCAGCAGACTGGGCTTTTATGACCAAGCTTCTTTTGGTCATGTTGATATACTAAATTCTAGGGTTTTGTATACAAAGCTTCAGGGGGAGAAAGCCTCAGTTTGATTTGAGATGTGTTTTTTTGTGTGAGGTAGCTTTTATCAAAACAAAACTAAAAAGAAAATTAAATTCAGTATTAACTCCAAATTGGACGTGCCTTGATTGTCAAACGTCATCATGGGCATGTTTGTTTACACAAAAGAGTTGAAGCAGATGGGTGGGGCGAGGCGAGGCGGGGACATTCATCACCATGAAATCCAAAACCCCAGTGGGAGCTGCTCTCTCTGAGAAACTGTATATATGTATATATACATACTGTATATATACATATATACAAGTCACTACATATGAGTACCTGGTCGTTTAAAAAATACAGACTGTTTTACAACAATAGCACCATTGACTTTTATTATAATACACAGTAACTTTTTGATACACACTGTGGTGGTAGAAATAGGAACAACTGCACTTTCTATGTAGCTAGATTTTTGGTTTCGAAGAGATATGTGTGCTTTAGTGGATATGGTACAGGAGTGATGGGGTGATTAGAAAAGAGGAGGAAGTAGGAGAGGAAGTTGGTGGATATGGTTATTTTTAAAATATTTGTAAGTGGGCTTTTTATTAGTTAGCAACAAACTCAGTCCTACCACACCTGGGACCCAAACCTAAACAATAAATAAATAACACCAACACATTTTTCTCTCTCTAGTTCCCTGGTATGTTCCCGTACTCTCCTCATACTTCCTCCATCTTGTTCATGAGGTGGGTCAGGTGGTGGTTGGGGGTTGCTGTCCACCCAGGGTGACGTGGAGGCTTTTGGAAGGGGCTGGGTGTCCATAGGGGGGGTGACAATGCTGGATGAATCACAGATGACAGTTGCTGGTGCCATTCAGTGCAGATATCCTACGGAGTTCGACTTGGAAAAAGCACTTTTTACTTAGAAAAAAAGTCCCATTTAAAAAAGCGTCTTGATTTTTCTTTTTCTCTCCTTCCTTATCTGAAGTGTGCTCCTCTTTCATTTGATTTCTTTCAAATTCCCACTTCTTCTTCTTCCCTCTCTCTCTCTCTCTCTCTCTCTTCTTTTTCGATTGCTCGTTCTTTACAAGAAGCAGACTGCCCCGACTTCGACTCCGAACTCCTGGTCTGTTCCTCCAATATCCATGGGGGCAATGTCTACAATGGGCAGACGAGAGGTCTTCTGCGATCTGTATTCCATCACTGTCTTGCCCCACTGTCCCGTGTGTTTCTGTGCAGAGGGAAAAATCAGATTGGCTGTGAAATGACCTATGACCTTTTCCAAAATTGCAGGGTGTAAGATTGGCTAGGTGAGGTGAGTGAACGCTACAGAGTAAGAAAGACGGTGCCTAATGTCTGTCAAGAAGGGAAAGTCAACCGTGACCAATTTTAATATCCATCATTATGTTCGCCTTTATTATACAATGTTCTGATTCCTCACATGCATGTATATTTACATGACATATTGTGTGTACTGTACATTTGTGTTTAATCTGTCCAGTCTTACCGTGCAACCGTCCTCCATCACGCTGTAAGTGAAGCGGCTGTTTCCCTCGGCTCTGATCTCCACGTCGTTGGAGCCCTGCAGCAGAACGGCCTTCTTCAGGTTGCCCGTTGAGGCGTCCATGTAGGCCACGCTGTTCTTACAGTGGTAGGTGAGGTTTTGAGAAGCCTCGGTGGACAGCAGTCTCAGGAAAGTCATCTGAATGGCAGCAGTGTTGTGTGCCAGGCTGTCGTCACCATAGCTGAACTGCATTGGGCCGCAGGAAAGGAAGAGGAAGTGTTAAATAACAGTTAGTGTCTCTGCTACTATGGCTGTTGCAAGTTTTTTGATTATTTGAACTGCTCCACAAGACGAGTAAGGATTATGTATTCTTTTTTTTAGAGAAATTGTTACCTACACTTGGCTAGCGCTTTAACCAACACACATTGGGTCAGAGGCTGATAATCAAAATTGAAAACATTCCCTGATTTAATTTTATGAAAAAGACTTAAGCCACATTTCCAAAAAATGCTAATGTCAAAAAGTCAGTCTGATTTCATTACATTACTAACAACAGAGTCTGGTATGTTTCAGTTCAACTTATGTGTAGCGAGATAAAAAACAACAACATGGTGCCACTTACGTGGAATCCGCCGTTCATTGTCTCTCCGAACCAGACATGTTTGCGGTCCTTGCTCTTGCTGGACCACCAGTTCTTGCGAGGGATGCTGGCAGGCTTGGATTTGACGCAGGACTCTCCTGTCTCCATGTTGCAGAAGACCTTGATTGCATCGATGGTGCAGCCCTGATTGGGATCAATCCAGTAGTCTCCTACAGGAAGAACAAAACAAAAACACATCAGCTTCATATTATGCCCAGTCTTTTCCTGCATGAAAAGCTGATCATTGTTGAAATTGTATTGCATAATATTATGGAATATTGTGAAATTTTCAAAAACTCTGAATTAGCCACATCCAAACAGTACCAGACAGGGGCGGACTGGCAACTGGGAAGTTTGAGAAGACTCCCAAACGGCCAAATCATTCCGGTCGATGCTCATCGAGTTTTTATTTTCCGCTTTCTGATGTCAGTAGTCACTGTAGCACTGTGACACCGAAGCTGCAGACCAGGCTATACTAACAATATTTAACCTAAATTTTGACTCCACAAAACTTTAGCTGCCAACTCAAAATGTCACCTAGCTTATGCCTACTTCATCATCTCACCCCAATTTGACCAATTTCTCTCTGTGTCACTCACCGCTCTTCCAGTCAGGATGGCACAGCTTCAGGTCTCTGCAGGTGCGAGCCGGGTTCTTCCTGGATCCCTCCGGGCTACGGATGTTCTCAATCTGGTTGTTGAGAGATTTGAGAGTGGCGTCGACCTCAGCATCGTGCTGACGGAGGTTTCCTGAAGCCTGGTCGGCCCTCATGTACCTGAGAGGATCAGGGGACTTTTCAATCTGACCGAGACCAGCGAAGGCGGACATGTCGATGCCTGGGCCAGGGGGACCAGGCAGACCGGGGGGTCCGGTGTTTCCAACAGGACCCTGAGAGGGAAAGGAGAAAGAAGGAAGGGTTACATTTGGCACTACACAGCATATCTTTTTTTTTCTAGTCATTACTCCACTTTTGTTGTCTCATTTCTCACAGATGTCGCGTTATTCTTCGTTCTTCATTCAGATTACAGAAGTCCCCCCTCATTTCCCACAATGGGTTCAGGAAACGCTACAGTCTGTTCTGCAACCTGATTTCTAGTCTAGGACTTTTTTTTTTTAAATTTTGCTATTTCACAGATTGTCAACATCAATATTATCCAATTCTGAGAGCTTATGAATTCCTGTCACTTGCATGTAAAATATGTGTAACATATTGTGCACAATTGTAAAAGGTATTTTTAGCCTGTTAAAATGTTCAGAGGAAGATCGATGGAACAGTTCTCGTGGGGTACTCACAGAGGGACCGGTCTCTCCACCACGACCACGTGGTCCGGGGGGTCCAATTGGTCCTGGCAGACCGTTTCCACCATCCTTTCCACTGGGGCCAACAGGTCCAGGTGGTCCCTATATACACAGAAGGAGATGTTGATATTAGGCACTAAAGACACTGCATGTGAAGAAATGTACTTCATTTGTCTTTGAATTCAAAGTGATATTCCCAATATTTTGGCAGCTTTAGTACTCACTCTTTGTCCAGAAGGTCCAGCAGGTCCAGTAGCACCCTGGTCTCCAGATTGACCCTTATCAGATAATGATTACATTCATACATCAGGGTTTCTGCAGCATTCAACAAGTTTAAGACTTTTTGATACTGAAGAATGACAATCTTAGTGCTTTACCAGCATTTTATAACAATAATTCTTAATTATAACAATTTTCAATGCTTATAATTAATGCTTACCGGAGGTCCAGGCAGACCCTGCAGACCAGTGAAGCCTCTGTGTCCCTTCTGTCCTCTCTCACCAGACTCTCCACCATCACCCTTGTCACCGCGGGGTCCTTGGGGTCCCTGAGAAAAAGTGGACAACAACCTAATCAGGGAAAATGTTTGGTTTTCTGTTGCATTAGAAGCCATAGTGTAATAAATGCAGAATTTCACCAACATGTCTAGAAAAGACATTCAAGGCTCAATTTCACTTTTGCAATAGATACACTAATTTTGTTAAATTTTTAAATGTTAAATA